AACTATGACGGAAATCATCATAAGAAAACCAATTACTTTTATTATTCCTATACCACAATAGCGCGGTGCCATGTAACAATTCGGGTAACACTATGAGAATGTGTCTGTTATCAATACCGTAGGATTCCTTCAATTCCTCTAACCTCTCTAGGAATGATATAGGATCTTTACTCCCATCAAATTTGACATTCCATTTTCGAACAAGGTTACACAACGAAGATGGATCATCTCGGTTTACACCCGGCAAATTATTGTTTTGAGGCGGAATAACGGACGAAATAGGTCTAGCTGAATGACTATGTACAAGGTCGTGCCCATGTTGGTGAGGCCAGCCTAGATAATTACTATCATCATTTTCCTTAACGTTCGACGTCGATTGTGATTTAATTAACAATTGGGATACCGACCTACAAACTTCATCTATTGAGGTCTCAGGTGGCATTCCTAACACTTCAGAAATTTTATGCCATTCATTCCCTCTCAACTGAGTAAACGTTGGTTGTGAAACGCTTTGAGCAATATCACTTTGAAAAATATGATCCGCGCTATGTAATGTGTGATCGCGGTACAATAGACTTCCGGCCTCGGTCGACTCACCGGCCTGACCAGTAGGTGTTTGTTTATTTTTCTCGCGGGGAATTCCATCCTTCCAAAACTTTGAAAAACGCCGTCTAAGTTCGTCTACTGTTCCCGAGGTATCTAAGTCGTACTTATTCATTTCAAGTCTAAGTTCATCTTTGCTTAATGACCTTATCCAGCTAGTTCTGGGGTCATCTTCGGACGGGGTTTTAGATATTACACCTACAGCCTGTGTAGTTAATGGTAACTCTAATTGTGATTTACTCACAGTAACTGTATCGACTGGTTTGACAACTTTTGGTATTGTCCCAGTACTACTAGTACTGGTACTAGTCAAAGTACTACTTGCTGTACTTGAAACGACTTTCAGGGTCTTATCACCCTTATCACCCTTGCTCTTATCAGGGGTATTTATGTAAAATGTAGGCCAGAATAGCTGGAACAAAACTTTCAAAAACAAACGCCAAATTCTCATTTTGAAAGTTTAAGATTCTACAACAATACGGTATAATTAATTAATTAATTAAGTCCTTTCGTTCGGGCGCCAATTTGTAAGGTGTTAATTCCGAGGGGGGTAAAACTACACCTTATATGCCTCGGATCTGCTAACAGTCAGGTGTGTCCAGGGTTCAATTTATATTATTAATTGGCTGGGCTCAGACCAAAGGATGTTATCATTGATTCAGTAAATCATTGGTCATCATCATTGCCCAAATTAAAGCCAATTAATCCCCGATCGTGTTTTTATTATCATTGAAGTTAAGTAAAAAAAAGTTAATCAAACGTCACAAAAAGGAAGAACCTTAGGTTAGCCGTGAACAAACACTATCGCTCGTGCGTTACCTACGCTCACCAAAATAAAATTACTTCTACAAAGGTTACTTCACCTTTTAATAAAAACTAATAAAATCAAAACTAAAAATAACTAACGAAAATTATTGTCACGACTAACAACTACGTCCTAGGTTCCCTGAGTTGTTTCACCCGGGTGTGACGTGGGAATATATCAGGTTTAAAACAATTATTTTAAGTGTATTAATCTAGATAGATGTGTATTAATTAATAGACCACACGACGGGACTGATCACGACAAGGCTGTTCCGCCCGTCACATAATAATCATCGTAATTTGTAATAAGTAGTGGTTTAATATAAGCTGAGCTTTTTCGCCCGCCACCTAGTAATCCGATTTAACACAATAAAATGCGTTCTGTAACCACTATAATTTATGGTTATGAATGAAGAGGAATAGGGCTGAGCTACTATCGGTTACGATGGACGTGAGCTGTTTCGCCCGTCCCCTAACAATCGAATTTTAATAATAAAACTAAATAGAGTACGTTCTTTAACAATTATAACTTGTGGTTGTTAAAGACAGTTGTAGAGCTAAGCTACTATCGATGGACGTGAGCTGTTTCGCCCGTCCCCTAACAATCGAATTTTAATAATAAAACTATAGTAGACCACTATCCGTCTACACCATGAAATAAATCTACTCTCAAGAAGACAACTAACAATACCCGTAAATAGTCTTGTTAAGAGTATAACCTATCTAACTGTTTTAGCTCGAAACTATCGTGGCCCATAAATTCCAACAAAAAGGAATATTACAGCAAAATTAATAGTAGTGAATTTAATTAATTATATTTAATACCCAGAGTACTTACAGTTGGTGATCGTTTAGAATAGGGACGACGTCCACGTTTATTTTACCCAATGGGTTTTTGTGAATGAGAGCGGGTTAACAGGGAGTAGTCAAGAGAGGGAAGTGACCAGCTACACGCCGGCCGATCGAGTGTCGGTTGATCCTAGGTCCTGGAGAACTCTCGCCCTACCCCTACCACTACGTCCTTAAGACGCTACTAGTGCTGCGGGTGGACACTGCCGGTAACATTTCCCGCTCTAATTTAAAATTGAATAGAGGTCCAATTTGGGACCTTACAAACTATTTAACCAATTTACTCAACTAATAATTATGCTTTTCATACGAAATCTTTATTATTTAAAATATTTAAATCCTTTTTTAAATAATATTTTGCAATAACATTTATAAAATATTAAAACAAAATATTTTATTAAAATATTTTTAAGATACATTGGGGGTGGAATAGGATGCATTTTTAAAATATACTTTAAAGATTAAAAAAAAATATTTTTAAAACATCCTGAGCTGACTGGGTACTCGTAAAACCTAATTTTATATGAATAGGAAATAAATCTGATGTGTTTAAGAAAGGTTTAAGGCAGTATTTTAGTAAATCCAATCAGACGAGTGTTTGTGTTTGTGTTTCTCCAAATGACACTTACTTTTATTGCTGTACCATTAAGAGTTCCTATTAAGAGATCCAAACGATCCTAAGAACTTTCGACCTGTTTCCCTCTTATGCCACACATATAAAATATTAGAATGTCTGATACTCAATCGAATCGGCAATTTTCTGGAACAAAAGATCATTCCACAACAGGCAGGCTTTCGTTGAGGCAAGTCTTGTTGTGGCCAAGTTTTAAACCTGACCCAGCATATTGAGGATGGGTTTGAGAGAAAACAGATCACGGGTGTCGCTTTTGTAGATTTAACAGCTGCCTACGATACCGTAAACCATCGAAGACTCTTGGGAAAAGTGTACAGTATTAATACCAAAGACTATCAGCTGACTTCAATGATAGGCACTTTTCTTCATAACAGGCGGTTTTTCGTGTCCCTTCAAGGCAAGAAAAGTAGATAGAGGAATCAAAGAAATGGATTGCCTCAGAGTAGCGTCTTAGCCCTAGCTCTTTGTAACATTTACACTAACGACCAACGGTTGCGAAACGCTTAACGTCAGTATATATATGCCGATGATACAGCGGTGGCGGCACAAGGTAGGAGTTTTGAAGAGGTGGCAGAAGCTGACTATGACTCTAAATGAACTTTCCCAGGACTATGACGCAAATACCTCAAGCCGAACCCTGCTTTCTTCTAAAAAGAATATTCTTTTCTTTTAAAAAGATCTCTTTATAAAAACCCTGCCCGCTGCCCTAGATTTTTGTATATTTAGTAGAAAACTACCTAAATATTATTAGAGAAGCGGAGTGGATACTTCTTGAGATATGATGCAAATTGGAAAATGGTTGCAAATAATATTAGGAGTTGCCAGTTTAATATGCCAATCAACACGATTAATATATTATTTGTTTACAATCATTTATTTTCATGCTATGTCAACTAATAATTTTTGAGAACCAAAGTACCAGCCCTCTGGTATAATCAAACACTCAAATTATGTTGGTTTTAATTTATGTACAGAGTTATAGCATATTATAAAATTCACTCTACAATATTTAATTATTTTGGTTTTACAGATAGGTCTCATTCTTGATCAAGCAGATGTTTCCATAAAACACTTAGACACTGTTGTGAACCTGATTCTACAACATGCTTTACGTTGTGTGCCTCGATATTCAAGAAATTCTATTTTGAAGATCATGTGCTTTCATCATGCCCAGGATGTTTACCAATATGAATTTAATGCAGCTGCTTCCCTCGCTGAAGAAGCGAAGTACCTTATATCTGGAGGAGAGCTGCTAGTAGACGCTGAGTCATCAGGCTGTCAAACATTAGAGAATTTATCATTTAAGGATAAATGTCAAGTAATCATTAAAAAAGTAACAGAAATGTGCGTTATATCAACGACACCAACCACATCAACAGAGCCCCCTACCACAACAGAGCCACCTACCACAACTGAGCCACATACCACAACAGAGGCCCCCACCACAACAGAGCCCCCTACCACAACAGAGGCCCCCACCACAACAGAGCCCCCTACCACAACACAACCTTCTACCACAAAAGAGCCCCCTACCACAACAGAGGCCCCTACCACTAAAGAGCCCCCTACCACAATACAACCTTCTACCACAAAAGAGCCCCCTACCACAACAGAGGCCCCCACCACAACAGAGCCCCCTACCACAACACAACCTTCTACCACAACAGAGCCCCCTACCACAACACAACCTTCTACCACAAAAGAGCCCCCTACCACAACAGAGCCCCCTACCACAAAAGAGCCCCCTACCACAAAAGAGCCCCCTACCACAACAGAGCCCCCTACCACAACAGAGTATCATACCACAACACAACCGTCTACCACAAAAGAGCCCCCTACCACAACCGAGCCCCCTACCTCAAAAGAACCCCCTACCACAACAGAGCCCCCTACCACAAAAGAGCCCCCTACCACAACAGAGCCCCCTACCACAACAGAGTATCATACCACAACACAACCGTCTACCACAAAAGAGCCCCCTACCACAACCGAGCCCCCTACCACAACAGAACCTCCTACCACAACAGAGCCCCCTACCACAACAGAGCCCCCTACCCCAACAGAGTCTCCTACCACAACACAACCTTCTACCACAAAAGAGCTCCCCTAACACAACAAAGCCCTCTACCACAACAGAGTCCCCGACCACATAACAGAGCCCCCTACCACAACAGAGCCCCCTACCACAAAAGAGCCCCCTACCACAACAGAGCCCCCTACCACAAAAGAGCCCCCCAACCACAACAAAGCCCCTACCACAACAGAGCCCCCTACCACAACAGAGGCCCCCACCACAACAGAGCCCCCTACCACAACAGAGTCTCCTACCACAACACAACCTTCTACCACAAAAGAGCTCCCCACCACAACAGAGGCACCTACCACAACACAACCTTCTACCACAAAAGAGCCCCATACCACAACAGAGGCCCCCACCACAACAGAGCCCCCTACCACAACACAACCTTCTACCACAAAGAGCCCCCTACCACAACAGAGCCCCCTACCACAACAGAGCCCCCTACCACAACAGAGTGTCCTACCACAACAGAGCTCCCCTAACACAACAAAGCCCTCTACCACAACAGAGTCCCCGACCACATAACAGAGCCTCTTACCACAACAGAGCCCCCTACCACAACAGAGCCCCCTACCACAACACACATGTTATAAACTTCAATGTAATCACTGCTTTCTTTAGAATAATAACCTACAGTTCTGATTAAAATATGGCTAATTTCAGACGTGATACCACAAATGTTATTTACAAACTATTTACATTTAGCTGTATTTAAAATTATGTTAATAAAAAACTATTTACTCATTTGACGTTGTTTGGAATTCACATTTTTTCGTGTAATCATATTCACTCGCCAGAGAGGTAAAAAACTTACACACTGTACACAAAATTTGTGTGTGCCTTTATAGGCTAAACACTGATTTATTTAATGTCAATTTGACAAAATACTAAATCTACAAATCCTACACTATTGTATCAAAAATACTGTATACAAAATATCAAATTAAAACAAAAATAAATCACAACATATATCAATAACAATCCCCAATACTATGACGATATATCGTCTTAATTAAGACGATATAGATTGCCTAAAGCAACTACCACTATATATATATATAGTAGTATTTATATATTGGCAACCTTTAACTCCAGGTCAAGGCCTCGTAGAATTTGGCAACGTTGGAAGTAGAGTGTTATCCAGCGCTAGACGTCCCATAAGATAACATAGGAGGCAAAGGTGACGCCAGTTCATTAAATCGTGTATTAATAAAATAGAAAATAAAACATTTAGAATTGGAAAGCGAAACAATATTTAAATTGAAAATCTATTTTTGTACATTTAAAGTAATGTCAATGTTGTCTTTGTCATAGACAGTAACCAAGATAAAATGCACAATTACCATTAGCTGCCTCCAAACAAAACACATGATACGACCCTAAGGTAAACGCACCAGTAGCTGACAGTATAAGAAACTATACGCACTTAATAATCTGTGGTTTTGAATAAATAGGAACTAAAGAGATATTACGGATTTTATGTGATTCTAAATTTAGCGTAGTTTTAAAATTTGTCATACAAAAAGGGTTTTTTAAATGTATTTTACAACATTTTTAAACTTAATTCAACCTTTGTACGTGTTCCAGTGGCTGACAGTGAAAAAATTGCTTGTACCAGTAGCTGACTGTCATCAATTGTCCCAGTAGCTGACACTGGAGCTATAAATGTACTAGCTGCTAAACCTAAGGGTTTTATAATTTATAAGACGAATAAAATCTAACTTAATAATTAAATTATAAATCATGTAAAACGTTATTAAAAAAAATCCTATTTTAAAATAAAAAATATTTACATTAAAACAATATATATATTATATATATATTTAAAAAATATACAATTTTTTAAGATAATTTGGCTTATTAATTAAATACCAATTTTTAAGAGACCACATTATAATGTAAAGAAACTCAAACTGTCAGCTTCTGGAGCACTGTCAGCTACTGGTGCATTTACCTTACTTGCGATGTTGCCACTTCAAAGGTGACGGCCAGGGGCCCATTTCATGATAAAGTACAAACTAATATTATCTGTAAATCAGCTGATCGCCCTATGCAAATTTAATGGAAATTACAAGTTAATTATGAAATAGGCCCCTGGAGTTACTGTAAAGATTGATTAAAGATGGCCGTGGTAAACAGGTACGGTAAATATTAAAATTATATAAAAATAAAATAATATTATTAAGCTGACGTGCAGGAATTATCATCAACATATCTTATAGCGTGCCTTTTCTAACTGGTAAAATTAAACTCATTAAAGGCTGTGAAGTGAAGCACAGTGAAGTGTGAACTGAATTTGAATATCAGCTCCAGCTGGCTAAAAAAAAGCTCTACAGCTGATGTGCCAGTAGATAGATTTCGTCTGCACTGCATTGCCGTTGCTGATAGCATTGCAATCGCAATCCTGGGAAAGGTGGAAAGGTTTATTTTCGTCGCGTAGGTCAAGTTGTGTTGTTAACATTATATTATAACTGTGAAGTTGTATTGTTGAACAATAATGCACGAAAACTTAATCATTTAGACTCATCGCTTCAATGTCATCAGGTAATTTTAAATAATTAAACCTTACCCTTATTTCAAACGAAAAGTAGGCCCAAGTTAGTTACTGTATAGCCTAGGCTAAGACCTCTCTTCAGTTGAGTTGAGTTAAACAAGGCTATGCTTGGAAGATAAGCTCATTCTAGTTTGCTGTTCCTTTTTATTTTTTAGATTTAAGAGTTCCCATCATTTAACTTATCTAAGGCGTATACCAACCCCCAACCTATCCATGTAAAATGACCATGTTCAATGAGACTTACGACTTACAGTCAGGTAACTTAATAGGCTACGGTGTAATAACTTACATATGTTAATTTGTTAAGGGGCAAAGTATTGAATCAATCTAACTTATTTCAATAGAAAACATTAACCAACTTATTCAAGCTTAAAATTACTTAGGCCATATTTGTTTAACTTAACACATATTTATTTCATGGGCAGCCCATTTAACTTATTACAGAATATTATCGATCAACACAAAGCATTTTGTTTGGTGAAAAGATAGGTAACATTAACTTAGTGGAGTTAGATGACTGACTTGTTAAACTAAGTTAGGTACTTAGTTAATCACAACACAACACGGTTACATTATTTTAGTTTATTTTACACAACACAAATAAATAAATAAAGTAGAACCCCTCATATCTGGCCTCGGTTTTCCAGTCCTCTGTTTATTTGGTCACTTCCTGGAATCGATAGCCAAAATATTTCCGATGGCTTAAAACTTGACCGTGTAGTTTCCTAGATTCGAGTCTTCTGACGGTTTAAATCTGTTTGTATAAATTTGTTTTGTATTCACAATTCATTTGACTAGTAGGTCCAACCTCTAAACAATTAGTTTAGACAAAGAAGTAAGGTAATAGGACACATTCAATGGCAGGCCTACACTGGATGTGGTGTTAAGCACTAGTCGATAGTGTCTAGGAACAAGTCCAACAACGCCTCCATGTGGAGCTACTATACTCACGGTGTAGGAAGACCATGCGGCCTGTGGGATCAGAAATTACCTCGCAGTGCTCGTTGCTCAGGCTCTTCCTTGTTGGTCTCTAAGTGTATTTCCTGCACCATATACTAGATATGAAAGCGCACTGTTGTCTCATAAAGCACTCTGTTTCCTCTGTAGGTAGGCCCACCTTATACTTCTCTGGGCGTTTATTATTTTCAGTACGGTTAGTACAGTAGTGTGCCTATTAGGCTAATTGTTATGTTTTGTCAAGTATTGAGTATTGTCACATTGTGTTGCAGTTTTGTTTTTATGCACACTAACATAGGCCAATGAAAAAATTAGTGTGTCAAAATGAAAACTTAACGCGTTGGCAGTGGCTCAAAAAGTGAACGGATTTGAACATAGCAATTTGAAAAATCTGGCTTAAATATGTCTTGCATTAAACATGGGGAAAAGCAGGGCTAATGATTAACTTAGTGTTTTATAAAAAAAAAACTGATGGGTTTTTTACTCAAATCAAGACTGAAAAGATTTGACTAAACACCGTTAGGCCTACTAACAAAAACCACAAGCTAGATGGTTGATGATGCTTTGTGGCTGTGATTCTTACAACAGGGAAGAAGGGCACTCCTGTTTCAGGACCAATCTAGCCTAAAAAGAGAAGTCCATTATTTTACATCATCAATATCGAAAGAAAAAAAATAATACAATAAGAGAAGCTTGTCCCAGATCAAATTTACAACATGAACGAGACTAGGCTGAATTTCAAAGGTTGCCACAAAAGATATTCTCGGTTGAAGTCAAGTTCAACTCCAGGGTTCAATTTAAACAAAGAGACAAATGAGAACACTTGCCCTGTGTTTGAATGCATCGGGAGCCTAAGCTCACGCTTTTGGTCATCAGTAAATCCCAGTTCTCTTCCTTTGATTTATCATCCTCAGAAATTAGCGTTGATTGAATCATACATTTTCATTGACTGGTTCGCAAATAAATCTATTCTTAGATTCTAGAGATTCCTTAAGGAGTATAAATGCCAGAATAAGCTATTTCATTGCTTAACAACGCTGGAACCTATCACACACCATCATTTGATTATGACGATTCGCTCAGTATAAAATTTATTTTTCTGCCTGCAAAAGCCGCAGGTTTTATCGAAACTATGAATCAGGATCTGATAGAATGTTTTATAAATCGGTATTGGCGCAAACTTCTGTCAGAGATTTGAGAGAAAATGGATATACTGACAGTGTGGATCTTCTCTCAGCTATCAAAGGAATTAACATAAAGGATATCAAGAAATTCCTAGAAAATTATTCAAGTCTTAGCGAAAGGCCTGGTTAGATATTAAGGACTTAGTCAAAGGCGCAGTGAATGAAGATTTGGCCCATGTAGCATATTTAAACACCCAGATAATTGTAATATTGAACTTATAAATGAATGAATGAATGAATGATATTGCCACAAAACGTACAGAATATTACAGGATGTATGTACAGGTGCTTCGTCATAAATAAAATTGTCCTTATAGAAGTCGTCTCTTTCCTTCTAGGTTAAATACATTTTAAAATCGTTAACAAAAAATGTACTGGCCTATGTCTAAATGGCCTGAGTCACCAGAGCTCTGACTGCTTTCTTGAATTTTAAATAACTAGGCTATGTGTTATGACAAGAATAATTGATTTAACTCAATTCAGTCATTTATCAGTTATACTGTAGATCACTGTTGATTTATCAGTTATACTGCGAATCACAAAGCTTTGATTTTTATTTTTGGACCGTTGATTTATCTTACTGCAGATCACAAAGCTTTGATTTTATATTGTTGGACCGTTGATTTATCAGTTATACTGTAGACCAATAGCTTTAATTTTTTTATTGTTGGACCGTTGATTTATCAGTTATACTTTGGATCACAAAGCTTTGATTTTTTATTGTTGGACCATTGATTTATCAGTTTAAACTGCAGATCACAAAGCTTTGATTTTTTATTGTTGGACCGTTGATTTATCAGCTATACTGCAGATCACAATGCTTTGATTTTTTATGGTTGGAACGTTGATTTATCGATAATATGAGCTGCAGATCACAAAGCTTTTATTTTTTATTTTTTGACCGTTGAATTATCAGTTATACTGCAGATCACAAATCTTTGATTTTATATTGTTGGACCTTTGATTTATCAGTTATACTGCAGATCACAAATCTTTGATTTTTCATTGTTTGGCCTGCTGGACTGTTGTTTATCAGTTATATACTGCTGATCACAACGCTTTGAATTTTTATTGTTGGACCATTGATTTATCAGTTATACTGCAGATCACAAAGCTTTGATTTTTTATTTTTGGACCGTTGATTTATCAGTGATACTGCAGACCACGAATCTTTGATTTTATATTGTTGGACCGTTGATTTATCAGTGATACTGCAGATCACAATGCTTTGATTTTTTATGGTTGGAACGTTGATTTATCGATAATATGAGCTGCAGATCACAAAGCTTTTATTTTTTATTTTTTGACCGTTGAATTATCAGTTATACTGCAGATCACAAATCTTTGATTTTATATTGTTGGACCTTTGATTTATCAGTTATACTGCAGATCACAAATCTTTGATTTTTCATTGTTTGGCCTGCTGGACTGTTGTTTATCAGTTATATACTGCTGATCACAACGCTTTGAATTTTTATTGTTGGACCATTGATTTATCAGTTATACTGCAGATCACAAAGCTTTGATTTTTTATTTTTGGACCGTTGATTTATCAGTGATACTGCAGACCACGAATCTTTGATTTTATATTGTTGGACCGTTGATTTATCAGTGATACTGCAGATCACAAATCTTTGATTTTATATTGTTGGACCGTTGATTTATCAGTGATACTGCAGATCACAAATCTTTGATTTTATATTTTTGGACCGTTAATTTATCAGTGATACTGCAGATCACAAATCTTTGTTTTTTTTTTTTTTTATTGTTAAACCGTTGATTTATCAGTTATACTTTGGATCACAAAGCTTTGATTTTCTATTTTTGGACCGCTGATTTATCAGTTAGACTGTGGATCACAAATCTTTGATTTTCTATTGTTAAACCGTTGATTTATTAGTTATAATTTGGATCACAAAGCTTTGATTTTCTATTTTTGGACCGCTGATTTATCAGTTATAACTACAGATTACAAAGCTTTGATTTTTTATTGTTTGAACGTTAAATTAGAAGGCGTAGTTGAAACATAAAATCTTATCTATCTCGCTTTACATCGTGTCTATCATTCATATTTCCTTATCGTGTTTATCGAAAACAAAGAATGTGGTTTTAAGTGCATTGCATTCCCTACATACAAATTCTAGTTATATACTCTTGAAAGACCAATAGTCTTAGTAAATATAGGGTAGCCTACCAGTTCTTACGTTTTTACATATAATTCTACAGGTTTACATTAAAACAATGATAAATTATGTTTCTAATTTATTGTAAGCAACGTTAAGAAAAACCTGAGTCTTATTGCTTACCGGAATTTGCTACTAATAATTAGGTTATTTTTAATCACCAAAACAATTTTCAGCTTATACATCCCAAACAAACTACCAACTGAAACTGTTCAAAGTAACAATAGCTTTTCATTCAAACAAAATATTAAGGACGAAGGGCTCCCTGATCATTGGGCTTTTTAATAAATGGTCCTGGCTAATAAACAGGTGGTCTTAGTCAGTAACAAAGCTACACAAGGCATCTCGCTTATAGTCTGGCAGAAGCTCGAAGGACTCCAGCGGATTAGGCGACCCTTCGCCCACGCACGCGCACTCACCAGCGGCTGCTCAATACCTGCCCCATCCCTCGCCCGCCCGGCAGGTGATTCACCACTGGCTTGCAGCCATAACAAATATGAAAATGAACATTTTTAACATTTTTGGTTTTAATTGTAATTATTTGAATTGACAATAAAGTTGTGAGTTTAACAAGCTAAAATTCGACTTGATCCCACGACTCTAAGCTTTGAAAACACTATTTTGACTTCCGGGGTATAGGTTTTTGCATAATATTTTATTAATGTG